GCCATTGAGAATAGTTGTCTGCAACAGGTGAGTTCATTTGGGCTGACCACACAACTTGCAGTGCATTTTCTTACCTTCAGACAATCAGTAGTGTTAACTATTAAACCAGCAATCCTGGAACCAATTTGTTTCTTTTGTACCATTTGTTCACTTCTCCCATTTTTTTCTTCCCATTTGGGGAAAATACAAAAAAACTTTTATGCAACATGTCTTTCGGTTGGCTTGCTGATATTTGAAATATACCTGTCATTGTGGTATGGTGCACACCCTCGGGGAAAGAAAAGCTGAAAACAGACCTCTTCCCACACTGCCCCAGGACCACCAGTGAAATTCGAAAAGCCTTCCCAAGATAACCCCTGCCCCCTAAATGAGTTGGGCGCAGCTCAAGAATGACTTGATACCAGTAAGAGGCAATAATAACAACAAACAACAGAAACAATGCCCCTAGCCCCAAAACAGTAACAGCTGCTACACCATGACAAGTACGGCAAGTAGAATTACAGCTCTTACAAGAACTGCTAGTAACACTTCCTCCATAAATACATAGCATGTAAATAAGTGGCCTATAATTTTTATACCTAGTTTAGAGTGCTTATTTGCATCCTTTGGCAGGCAAAAGACAGATGCAGACAAACTGTGTGTTTCTCAAGATAAGAGGGGAATACAGCTAGGTTCTAGGGTCTTTGGAGACTGCGACAGTCTTTTGTCACAGATAATGCAGCATTTGATGAACCATGGTGATTTACGGAAGTGGGAGATGGAACGAACTGTCCGCATGAAGGCATATGATAAGAAGAGGACAAAGAGCTGATCAATTTGAGAATGTATAATTATTTTTAATTAGTCATGCTAAACTACAATGTAGAGTGTTAAGGTGGATTTTCTTTACAATATTATGTCAGGCCATCACTTAGCCCTATTTGACAACCAATTTACAAACCATGATTTCTGGGCCTCATAACATGTTAATAATTTGTACCACAAGAATGAAAATACCCGTTAGGCCAATTTTTTTCACTCAAATCAGGCCCGCATCTCACTGGGTGTAAAGTAACCTTTAAGCAACAAATTAGTTTGCTTTGTATGTGATAGAGTCACTTAGACACCATAAGAAAGCTACCTATAGCCGGCTTGTGTTTTATTTCATTCCTAAACAATATCAATTTAAAACATACAGACAAATAAGAGCGACAGTGTATTTCAACTTTAATGATGACCCTTTCATGTGAAGAGAATTTGTAAAGATTTCAAACCTAAGTGATCTAGACCACCAACACAAGGTTATGGCAGTTTTTAATGACTATTTTAATTATCAAAACAGTTTAACATAGCTTACAGTTTAGATATTTCAGTGTACATATGATTAATAAAAGATTCAACTTTGTGCTCACTTCATCGTGGAAGGTAGAAGTGAAAATTATATCCCAGTTACTTCTATAACAAAAATAATGATTTATTTAAGAAAATAGAAAACATGTATCATGTTTCTCTTGAGTTCTGGAAACACGAATGGAAGTTTGGGAGAACAAGAAATGCTGTGGGAACCTGAGCCACAGGCGAGTGTTTCCACAGCTTTTTCAAGTTCTCCCAAACTTTCACCGGACTGTTTCTATAACTCAATAGAAACACGGAGAACATGTTTTCTATTTCTTTTAAAAAACACTAAGACAAAAAAAAGGAAAACAACTTGTTAACTTTGATTATCAAAATGTAAATTCTCTTTGCTCATGCCATCATTACATCAACAGCTCGTCCTAGTTCTGTTTCTATCAAGTTATAGAAACACAATATTAAACCAATCAGCACGCGTATTTTCTTAGGACTGTTTTCTAAAAGTTATCAACTATAGTGGAACCCTGCCTTGCGGCCACTGTAAATAAATGCTGCATACATCTTATGCAACCCTCCAATCATTTTCCAGTTCAGTAAATAATTGCAAGCTTGGTTATGTGCATGGCCGAAACATAGCCCCTGTTAAACTTACTTAGAGACTGGAAAGGCGCAGAGAGCGGGCTACGCACACCTTGATTTTGACCTACTTAGGGTCGATTTCCAAGAGCTTGGATGATATTTCAATGCCAAATTACAAGAATTTTGAGTGACTTCAGCTGAAGACATTATCTCTCTCAGTTGAAT